TCTCTTTGCTGCCTTCATTTCTTCACCTCCCGTTTGCCCCTCAACCCCACACAACGGGACTTCTGTCCTCACCCCTGGACTACAATGGCTATTACCACTGTGATAAATGACTACATGGTCTCCATTGTGCTGAAGCCACTGTTATCTCTGTCCACTTCCTCCTCGATTTCTCAGCAGCATTTGATGCTGACGACTCTCTTCTCTTCTTTAAGGCTCCTGACACCTCTCATCTGGTTTTTCCTCTGCTTTACTAGGTCTTCTTTCTCAGTCTCCTCTGACGGTCCCTCCTCCTTTATCAGGCCTTTAGATGTTGGAGTCCCTTTTATGTCTACACTCTCTTCCGAGAGGAGTTTATCCAGGTATGGTGCTTTTAATATCATCCAGACCCCCAAATCCAGACTCCCAAATATATGTCTCCAACGTCGGCCTTTCCCTGAAGTCCAGGTCCTTACATCCAAGCACCTCCTCACCCTCACTTGGATGTCTAATACACATGAAAATGCAACATGGCTGAAACAGAACCATTGATGCCGCCCGTCTTCCCCCAAGCATGCTCCCCTCAAACTCTCTCCGTCTCAGTAAATGGCCCCCCTCTCCATCCAGCTGCTGGCCAGAGGGCCATCCTTAATTCCTCCATTTCCTTCCCACTCTACATCCAAGCTATCAGTGTGTCCCGTTGGCTTTACCTCCAAAGTACATCCCAACGTAAATCCCAAATCAGACCATATGTGACCCCCTCCACCACTGCTATCCGCATCCATGTCATTCTCACGTCTATTGTAACCGCCTCCTAATTCCTCTGTGGACTCCACTTCTGACCCACTCCCGCCTTAGTTTTTACATGGGTCTTGCTAACATTCAAATCAGATCATATATCACTCCCCTGCTCAAAAACCTCAAAACACTTCACACACAACCCAAATAAAACCCAGACTCCTTACTCTGACCTATGAGGCTGACATGATCGGCCCGTCTCTGCAGCTCCCCTCCCACCGCACCTCTGCACTCTGGCTGCGCTACAGACCACGCTCCTTCCTGCCCCAGAATCTGGGCTCTTGTTTATCTATCCGGAACACTCTTTTTCCTGATCTTCGTGTGGCTGCAGTTTCAGCTGAAACAGCACCTTCTCAGAGAAGCCTTCCCTGACGAGGTGGTAAAAGCAGCCGCCTCCCACACATGAGGCTGTTGTTGCATTTTTTCTTCTCTGTGGCACTTAAAATTATTTGTTTGGAGGACAAATTAGAGCAGTGTCCTTTTGGTCTAAAAAAGTGTATGTGTGGTCCCGTCTGCAGGGGTGGTAAGGCCCAGTGCTTCTTCAGTCCCTCTGAACCACACGGCCAATGGTGATGGCGGGTTTCCAAGTGCCCACTCTGCCCCTCACCTCACAACCCAGAGTCCACACGTCCAATTTATGCTGTGTGCTCTTTGTACGAAACAGATCCTAGTCGCGCATCCTCTTGGCGTAGGCAGGTGATATAATCTCAAGGGACTGCTAGAGAGCTTCTCTTTAGCTGTTCTTCCACGAAATGGGATTTCTAACAACCGTTTTGATGCTCTGACATAGGCGTCTCCTGATAACACTGATAGGAGCATTCAAAACAATGCCTTCCCTTGCCTGCTTTGTCCTTTTGAAGATTTCTGGAAGGGTCTATGACCCACCGTGTCAGTCTCCTGGGGCAGGTTCCTGGGCCCCGTGCCAGAGCTACACAGCGAATCCCTGAGGTGGAGCCCAGGGGTTTTCCTGGGAATAGGCATTGGCAGCAGGTGCCCAGGGGATCCTCAGGCAGGCTGGATTTTGAGGGCTGCTGCTGCAAGAGGCTGAAAAAGTTTAAGGCACAAGATCCCCTCAGAGTGCAGTAATGCTAAGTGCCATACTTCCAGGATGGAACTGTGATTTGAAATACATGTCCTGTTGGTCCACTGTCCAGGCATTGCTCTGAGTTTGACCCAAACATTCTGAATCCAGTCAGAGTCACCTTTGGAAGGGGCTACCGTAGGAGAGAATGGATTTACAGCAATAATGCCTGCGTCTCTTCACTCTGCATCTTGAGCTCACTTAGCCCCCGCAGGGAAGCTCCTGATGGCAACCAGCACCAAGCAGCCCTCCTTGGCCGAAGGCTCGAGAAAGGAAGAAGAGGGATTAGGGTGAATCTCTTCCTTCCTCCCACATCTACATTTGAGGGTTGAATGATCAAGCCTTCCCTTCCCTTCTCTTCCCTTCCTCTTCTTCCTCTCTTTCCTCTCCTCCTACCCTCCTCCCTCTCCCTCTCCCTCCCACTCCTTCTCCCTCCCTCTCCCTCTCTCTCCCTCTCTCTCCCTCTCTCTTCCTTTCAGTTAAGTGCTTGGTCCTGTATGAGCTATAACAGGAACAAGGTAAAAGGAAGCAAACTTCTCCTCTTTATATAGATATCTTCTTTTGAAACATTTTTATTTCACTTTTTCTAACAGCAATATAGAAACAAATAATCATAAAAAATAAAATTATAAACTGTCCATCGATTATGTAATAGCACTTGGTATTGCTACAGGGATGAGGCCAGGGGCTGGTCAGGGCATCTCAAGCCTGCCCAGCTCTCCAGGCCTCTGGGATCACTGCCGAGCCCATGAAGGCCTCAGACATCACCGCACGCTGCAGTGTCAATGGAGACTTCATGTTTTATACCCAGGGGTCCTTGGGGATGACAGAGAGACGGGTAGACAATGAGTAAAACTGGAAACAGTACTGTATACACGTGGTAAGCCAGAAGGTCGCCCTGGGGAGCAGGCGACGCAGGTTAGGTTGCGGCTCACTCACAGACAGCTCTTCACCACACAAGGCAGGGGCTTCACAAGGCTGAATCGGCTTGGTTAGTTGTCTGTGTTCACTGTGGAGACAAGGGAGCTAACAGACACTGGACAACGAGTAAGAAAACACACCTATCTTTCCCCTCTACTGCTCTCCTCAGATCCCCTCCTCCTTCTCCTCCTTCTTTATCCCAAAAGAAAATTCTCTTGGGATGAACTAAGCAAAAGAGTCGAGACATCTAACCTATCCAAAAAAGGGTGCCTTGACTTCAGTTTCCTCTCAGAGAACAAAGAAAGGAAAGAAGCATTCGGTTAACTGAGCAACTAAATTGCCCAGTTGATTCCAGTTCAATAGGGTTGACAAAATTTAACTAAATCACTCAGCTTTAGTTGAATCCAACTTTTTCAGTTACTGTAATAATTTCCAGAAAGAAAAAAAAAATCAGTTTGGCATTTTCTTCAGAATATAGAATGAGCTTTCCTGTGAGGGTCTGGGTATGTGTACGTGTGTCTCTATACAGTGAGTGGTGAGTGTGTGTAATAGGCCAGCCTGATATCCCACGACCTTGAGGACTCGTCTGGAAGAAGCCTCGCAGGACTGCTTCTGTAGGACTTGGCAGTGCCTGTACCTAATCCCTGAGGAGGGACATTGCAGGGTAGAGAAAATCTCCCTCCTTTCCTGCCTGAGGGGGAATAGCCCTGGCCTTCCTCCGAGGTCTTCTCCGTGGAAGAGTCCCTTGGGCCTCAGACTTCTGTCACTGCTCAGAGTCAGGCTGAAAACAAATCTTGGCTATGTGGTTATATTTTCTTTGAAGGAAGCATAAACCCTCTGGTTCTTTGAAATCACAAGGAAGAGACCAGTTCTTTTCTAACTAGGAACCATTCATCTGCATCCTCCTACTCCTGGCCCACAAAAGAAAAGCAACCTTTCCCAGTGTGGGTCATGGAGTGTGTGTGTGTACGTGTCTGTGAGTGTGAGTGTGCATGGGACCCAATGAGATTATACAGGAAGATGAAGCATGAAGGCAGAGCAGTAGGACACCTCACTTCCTATACGGAATCGGGATTGTTGATACATGTGCTGTGGGTCCACTGTCTAGGCATTGCTCTGACTCTGATCCCAATATTCTGAATTGCAAAGTGGGAGGTGTGCATGGGGGCTGAATGAGGTGGAGAGTAGAGGGGCTGGCAGTTTGTGGATTTGGCAAAGAAGTAGGGCAATCTTTGGGGTTCAAGTTCATTGATACATGATCTGTCTAGGCATTATTAATAATGATTCAACACATCAACATTCTATAGCCAACAAAGAGCTGTGGAACCTCAGGGAAGTCATTTTCCTTCCATGGCTTCACTATACTCCTTTATGAATGAGAGGGCTCGACTAGATGATGTCAAAGGTCAAACCCCCCAGCTGCCGGGGAATCCCCTGCCACGTGGTCTTCTACCAGGTTAACTTCCCTAGCCTATTGAGGCCTCAGTCCTCACATGCTGATCTTCACACTTGTTGTTAGGAAGAAACTTTTGAAACCAAATCCTGAATCTCTGTACTTGACCTACCCAACTGGTTCACCATTTGGACAAAAATCAAACAGTTATTAACAAGTTAGCAACAGATTAGTAACAGTCTGATTCAATTAAAATTAGTCCTTTAAGTCAGGCCCAGAATCTCAGAGGAGGCTTAGGGTGAGCTTCTTCGCTCCCTCGAGTCCTTCTGGGGAGGGCAAGAAGGTGATGTGGGTGACACCGCTGGAATCCACCAGGAGGCCTCTGCTGGCCCCCAAGGGGGATCCTGTTATGGGAAACCCACTGACGGATCTGCCTAGTTCAGTCACCAGTGGTCTCCCAGGCACTCCCCCAGGGCTGTGGGGTGGCGGCAGAGGTGCTCTTTCGAGATTGGGATTGGTATACGTGGCCAGGGCAGGCAACAGAGGGCATCTGTGCTTGCTGCACCCACGCTACCCTGGTGTGTCCTGGCACACACCAGAAACAGAAACCATTTACATGCCACCTATAGTGCCAAGGTCGAAGACTGACCACAGCCTGGACCTCACGCTCACCAGGGCACCGCCTGCTGGCTGTGGGGCCTGCGTCCCCAAGCTGCACTTGGTTATTCCTTTCCTTGTGGGTCCCTGTCAAGGTGGCTGAGTCACCCATTTAGGGTGAATTTGAGCCAGTACTTAGAGGACAGTAACAGGGAGATGGGCATGTCTGACATATCTGATCACCTCCCCCTTGGGGGCTCAGTACCCTTGGGGAAGCTTTCTGCAAGAATCACAGTTTTTGGGGGGCCCCATTTGGGATCCCAGTTCATAGCACCAGTGATTCTGGGAAACAGGAATATAGAGCACTGAGGGGAGGACTGTGACGTGTCGTGCTGGGAACCCAGGTCTCACTGAACATCTGGGTGGAGGGGCCCTTCGGCAGAACTCTTTGGGTGTTAAGCAAGAGCCAGTCATGGGATGTTGGGATCCATAGCTGGGGGCCCCAAGAAAGCACCTGCCGACAGGTCCTGGGGGCCCACGGTTCACAGGTCTCGCCTATGGGGAGACCCACTTGGGGTAACTTGGCCTCAACACCCTTCCCACACCCTCTCCCTGCCTCCCAAACTCTCTCTTCTGGTTTTTCTGCCCCCTTCTAGGGCTTCTCAGCAGAGAGAGAACCTCCGGGAGTTGATGTTCATCTTGGTGACTCCAATGAGCTTGAGTGGCGTGGACAGACTGAAGGAGGAGGCAAGCGGGGAGTCGCAGAAGAGGTCGGACAGCTCATCCCGTTCCTCCAGTTCGTAGGTGGCATCGTTGAGCATCCTCCTGTGGAGGTCGCAGGTCTGCTCTATCTTCAGCTTGTTGATGTCACTGCGCAGGCGCATGAGCTGTCTGGCCAGCTGCTGGTCCTGAAGCCGCATCTCCGTCTGGAAGGCAGGAGGGGGAGGCATCAGCACCAAGCTGCGTGAGGGGGGCTACAGCACCCCTCATAGTCGCTGACAAGCACAGACCCGTTAATAGGAGACCTAATTAATCGCTTGTATCATCAACTGGTCCACCTGGAGATATTAGCACGTTCTCAGCTCAAAGAGGTGAAAAGACACACATAGAGAGATGACAAATGAGGACGTGCTTGCCAAACTATACTTTGTGCTAGGCCAGATACTATGTCTAAATCCTCTGGAAGAGGTGCATGTCAGTCCTGGCTTTAAGGTATTTCCAGCTCAGTCTCATTGTGTACACATGGAGTAAGCGCATAAAGTATGCATAGGAATGATAAATGCTAAATTCAGAAGCATGGTTACCTCTGGGCGGGAAGGAGGAAATGTGATTGGGGTTGCCATACAAAATACCATAGACTGGGTGGCTTAAACAATAGATATTTATTTTTCACAGTTCTGGAGGTCAGGAAGTCCACATTCAAGGCTGATTCAGTTCCTAGTAAAGACCTTCTTCCTGGCTTGCTGATGGCCACCTTCTGGCTGTGTCCTCACAGGATGGAGAGAGAAAGCTCTAGTCTCTCTTTCTCTTTTTATAAGGACACTAATCCCATCACGGGGGCCACCCTCATGACCTCAAAATCTAATCACCTCCCAAAGGCTCCACCTCCAAATACCATCACATTGGGGGTTAGAGCTTCAACATGTGACTTTTGGGGCACACAAACATTCAGTCCATAACAGGGTATATTAACACCCAAGTTAATCTTCACTACAACTCTGTGAAGTAATATTACCATCATCATCCACAATTTAGAGATGAAGAGGCAGAGGCACAGCAAAGTAAGTCACTGTGTCAAGTTACAAAGCTCATAAATGGCAGAGCTGGGATTGGGAACCCAAACTACCGACAACTAAGTTCTTCTGCCTCTTCGGGTAGAGCTGGAGTGTGGGGTATGGAGCTAGTTCTGTGCTCAGTGACCTACTAGAAGGTTCATAATATTTTTAGGGCCTCAGTGTTTCCTATTGAAGAAGGTATGTGAGAATAACTCCTCACCTGGTCTAACATTTAGTTTCCAAAATTCATCTTCATGTTAATCTTGTTGGAACTGAACAGCCAGCCTGGAGTTACCAGCAGGGCAGTTTGGTTGAGTGTTTTACAAGCTGGAAGAGTTTCAATGAGTTGCTTAGTTTCCCAGTTGTGCGATGGCAGAGACCGGGATGGGAGCTCATGAGATCTCTTCAGGCTCCTAGTGCAGAGCATTTTCCAACAACACTAAGACAGGACACCAGCCGCTCCTACATGACAAGAGGTCTAATTCCTTCTCACCGTTTACTCTGCCTAGGCTTGCGAGTGGTTGTTTTAGTATTTTTGCGTCTTCACGCTCAATCATGTCATTCACCTGATGCTTGGAGCCAAACTGATTTAGAAAAATCAACCATGAGACTCCAGAGGGACCCACCTGTGGTTATGCAAATGAATGCAAATGTTCTCACCCTTCCCCTGTTCAGGTTTGGAATGGAGTGCATTGCAGGGGAAAAAAATACGCAGCTTCACTAGGAAGCATTTCTTTGTTCTCTTTTCTCTCTTATTTTTTTATGTGCTTCCACAGATCTCTTTTCTCCTGATTTTATAGATGAGAAAAATCAGAAATTCTTGCTGGGGATCAGCAAAGTATTTAATGGCAAAATTGGGATTAAAGTTCATAGCCTCCCGTTCATTAGTTTACTTCTCAGTTCTTGAGCATAACAATGCAAATTTATTGGCATCAGAAAGTCTATTGATCTACAATAGCGCCAAATTAATGATGCTGGGCTAGCCACAGGGCAGGTGGTCATTCATTCATTTATTTGGAGCCCCTGGTCATGCCTGGAACTGGGATAGGTGCTGCCTAAGCCCTTCTGAAGGAGATGAGGGTCAAATTTGTCTGAAAGACAGTGCAGCTCACACCCATTTCTTTCTTTAATGTGGTCTTCTGGGGGGTTTGCTCAAACCGCTTCTCTTCAGAGTATTCTGTAATTTGAGGATAGATCTCTTTGGAAAGCTAGGAACTCTATGGCTTAGATCTGAACTGTGGTATCAGGAATTGGATCTCAGGTCTGCAAAGATCCTCTAAAGTTGGAGAATTTCAGGTCTGAGCAGGTGTTTGGGACTATCTGTGAGATGTGGCCTGCGGTGGGTACCTAGTGGGGGGAGGGTCTATTTTTCTATGGCTGATAGATCCGGTCAAAAGTCAGAGAACAATCTAGAGTTTAACACTCATCAGAGTCAGCTAAAAGGAGTGAAAGTGGGGCATCTGTCCAGTTTCCTTTGACTGGACAAAGGCCACCCCGGTGGAGCTACCTCTCACACCCCTTGTTGGAGGCATTCAACTCTACGTAAGCAAAAGAAGAGATGTAAAGCCACACTTTCAACAGGGATGGCAATTCTGGTCATTCTACTTGTTTGTGCCCCAAGGGAACATGAGGAGTGGGCTGGGACCCCACTGCTTCCTCAGCAGGCCTTTGTTCTGAGAGCATCTCACAATGTGAGCATCCTGCCCTAGGAATCACTTGGCATATATATTTTGTTATGACCCCTGACTCAACTACTTCATCTGATGCTCAAAGAAATGGTGTTTGTTCCAGCACTACAAGGAAAACTGGCAGTGTTGACCCTATTCTCACCTCCTCTGTGGGCCACACAGCTTAAACCCTAAGCTGAATCTTCACTTAAAAGGTAACTCCGCTGTAATCAAACCAAATCCATATAGCAACGAGTTCTCACAGGCTCCAAAGAAACCTGAGCAAAATGTGCAGGGCTAAGAGGCTTTTTTTCCCTCCAGAATTTCTTTTTCAGTTGTGATAAAATACACATAAAATTTACCATCTTAACCATTTTTAAGTGTACAGTTCAGTGGCATTAAGTACATTCACATTGTTGTGCAACCATCACCACCATCCATTCCCTTTTTTCATCTTGCAAAACTAAAACTCTCTCCCCATTAAACACTAACTCCCCATTCTTCCTTCCCCCAGCCCCTACCAACCACCATTCCACTCTCTGTCTCTATGAATTTGACTACTCTAGGTACCTCCTATAAGTGGAATCCACAGTATTTGTCTTTTTGTGCCTGGCTTATTTCACTTAGCACAATTTCCTTAAGGTTCATACAGTTAAGAGGCTTTTTATAAATTAAACCTTTTCAAAAATTTTTAATGAACATATGTCTTCTCTGAGCCTATTTAGAGTAAGTCAGAAGAACGGCAGTTCCTGTGGAAGGTGCAGAGGCTGCGATGCGGGTACAGTTACAGAGAGCAGCGTCTAGGCCGGGCACGGAGCTCCTCCTTCCTTTTTCTCTCTTCTCTGCCATGCAGGCATTCGAGTGGCAATGACAACACACCCGCATCTTCTACCACATATTATCAGATGCATTTTACATACCTTATTTCACTGAGTCTCCCAGAACTCTAGATGACAGGTATTTTGATCTGTTTCACAGACAAGGAAACCAACCCAGAGAAGTTAAAGAACTGTCCAGGATCAGACTAGCCTGTGCTGGTGGCACTTGGACCACACCTGGGGCCCAACAGCCCAGAGCTGGTGTCCTCTCCATGGCTCCTATCTTCCTGGAGGTGGGATGGGTCCCCGAGGCAGCAGAAGTGGGAAATCCATTGCTCTGGAGTTAGAATGTGAGTTCAAGGAGAATGTCACCTCACCAGCTGTGTGGCTTTGGGCAAGTCACTCACGCTCCTTGAACTTCTGTCTCTTCATCTACTGAAAAGGCCTCATCCAAGGACTGTGAGAAGCAAGCTAGATAATAAGTAATACACCATATAAGCTGAACAATGCTGGTCAAATAAAGGGAAGAAGTTCACTGTTTAAGTTCTTTCTCTCCAGGCCAAGGTTCAGAATGTGGAACCCGGCCAGGGCCTCCCAGTTTTAAGCTTTTATTAAAGAGGCAGAGACACTGGCCCTAAGACCTGGCCCCACCAACATGGGCTTAATGCTCTCCTTGGCCAAGGCTCAACTGTAGGACGTGCGGATTTCCAATCCCGCCTCCCAGGGTGGCCTGTTGCCCCTGCAGGATAAAAGCATTTGCAGGTTCTCAGAGGTGTGGCCTGTAATTCCAGCAACCCTGTAATTAGGGCAGAGTACTGGTGAGAGGGGAGACTCGGCGCATTGTGGGGAAGGGTGTGTTCCCACGGGGTGAGAAGCACATGAGGGGGGTGGCAGATGATCGGTGGCCCTGATGCAATAGCTGTGCTTGTGGTCTACACTTGGCTGTAGTTTGTTTCTTTGAGTTTGGTTGTTTCTTTGAGTCAGACAAGAATGCCTCTTGGGAGAGCCCAGTTCTTTCTTAAGGTAGAAGGTGAATCCTCAAGAGTGGGATTAAGTAACTCAAGGTGGTAATTAAACTGCCCTGCAAGAGGAGGAGGAGATTTCTTCAGCTTTGCCTGGTGAGATGAGGGGGTGGTAAGGGCCCTGGGGGAGAGGACATAGTGAGGCCGTGGGGGAAGGAGCAAGAGAGGAAACCGGGAGGATGGCCAGCCAAGGAAACTCAGAGGACAGAAACAGGTACTATAAGTGTGTAGGGATTTGCTGTGAGGTCTCTTTAGGCAAGTCTCATGGGGCGCTAGTGATCTCCTGGGGAGTTAGAAGAGGGGCTGACTCCTCCCTCCAGGCCCGGTGCAATAAAAACAAAGGCTGCTTTAAAATGATGTGGAGAACAGTATGGCAGTTCCTCAAAAAATTAAACACAGTATTACCATGTGACCCAGCAATCCCACTTGTGGGTGTATACCCACAAGAACTGTAATCAGGGCCTCAAACAGATACTCATACACCCATGTTCATAGCATTATTCACAATAGCCAAAAGGTGGAAGCAACACAAGTGTCCATGGATGGATGAGTGGATAAACAATGTGGTATACACATACAATGGAATATTATTCAGCCTTAAAAAGGAAGGAAATTCCGACACATGCTACAACATGGATGATCCT